TCATCGTATTTGGCCTCCCATGGAACAGAAGGGCCCCAGCTCTGCATCTGAGTTCATGTATCCTTCATTTTTTTTATGTTGGCTTTTTAAAGTTATTCTTTGGATGCTTTGAATTTCACTATATGTTGGTACTTCTCAGCGGCAGAGGTTTCTTTCTTTTGGTTCAGTGGATCGGATTTCCCTGTTTTCTCCCCTGCCGCTCTTCTCCAACTCTCTATTCAAGATTTGCTGCTAGGGTGGACTAAACGAAGGTCCGCATCTTCATTGCCATGCTTAGTCAAGGTTGTGACCTGAGATTCCATCTCTCCCCCCCCCCTCCTCTGCCCTTTTTTTATCTACCCAGTTTTCTATTACTTTATCTGACTTTTGTTTGCTGTTTTTGAAGGCAAAATTATTATTATTATTTTTTATGAAAAGAGGATATTTTTTTCATCAAATACGATCTACACACATATGTTGTACATAGACTCGGACTTCTACAGAAACCAATTTGTTCGAGAGTCAAACAACAAACTCAAACAGACTATACAAGCTAACAGATTCAAACCATACTATACACATCTCCCTGCTACATATATGGTTTCACTACCACTATTGCTGCAAACTCACAATTTCCACATTCCAGATCACCCAAGACCTTCAGCGTTTTCGAAATCAATTCATCACAAGTGAGGTACTACTTGCCATATAACCGACGACACCTCTCCCTCGAAACTTCACTAATCAACAAACAACACATCAGTCGTCCAACCCTACACTTTCCAAACCTCTCAGTAGCAGTCCTCTAACTCTCCTGCCAGCCATTAGATGGAAGATACCCCCAGTTCGCAGGGGAAAATTTCAAGCAATTCAGAGCATAGCTACACTCAGAGAAAATATGATCTCGACTTTCTGGTAAGATCATGCATAGAGGCCAGGTCTCATCTACATCAGGCTTCCACTTTTTGATTTTATCAAGAGTATTTATTTTATCAATCATGACAAGCCAAACTAACAAAGAATTTCTAGGGATCTGAAACTTACCCCAGATTAACTGATGGCCAGGCAGCAGTTCTCCCCTTGGTCTAATATGCTCCCAAATCTGCTTGTTACTATACTTTTCCATTTTCACACCCTTCCGGCTTCCACAGAACTCTTTGATCTGAGTACTAAAACTGATATGCAACCATAGTGCGAGCTTGCATAATTATATTCCAAGCCCATGAACCTGAAATCTGATTATCCCAAATTGACAAATTCCTCAACCGATATTCCTTTAACCACGCAATCCACATAGTAACCATATCAGACAACACCGCACATATATGCCTATTATACGTGCAATATTCCAGGATTTCAAATCCTTAACCCCTAACCCACCTTCCTTTTTTTAGCAAAGCTCCCTTCTGCCATGACACTTTAGCTTTTTTGTTCGGATCAGCTGAATCCCAAAGAAAATCAGAGCACCGTTTCGCATTCTCTTGTATACCTGCTGGGGTAACTGAAAAATCCCCATCCAAAACTGAACTATGATGGTAAGAACGGAGTTAATGAGCTGCAGCCTCCCTGCATAAGTAAGCAGTTTTGACTTCCACCCCTTTATTCTCTTTGTTATTTTGTCTACCAAACTTTTACAATCTGTTGTCCCTAACTTTCCTTCAATAAGGGGAACACCTAGGTACCGGACTGGAAGTGAACCCTCCGGGAAACCAGAATAATGATAAGCTCTCTACGAGTCTCAACACTCACTCCAGCACAAAACAATTCACTCTTCGCTGGGCTACAACACAAGCCAGAAACCTTTGCAAACTATTCTAGGATTTTTGCCACAGTCTTAACCCCCTCCTTAGTCCCTTTTGTAAAGATCAACAAGTCATCCGAAAAACATAGGTGGGTAAGCCCCACTCTATGACATCACGGATGATATGGAAGCACCCTTAACATTGCAGCCCTATTTAACATACACGACAAGATTTCCATAGTAATTGCAAAGAGATAGGGGGATAATGGACCCCCCTGTTTTAAACCTTTCTGAGCCTGAAAGTTGCCCGTTAACTACCCTCCCCCATTTACACAAACTCTAAACGATGCACTTTTCAAGCAAACTCTAATCCAATTAACTAACAAATCAGGCAATCCCATAGCAGTCATCACACTATAAAGAAATCTCGAGTGAACACTATCAAATGCTTTCATTATATCGATCTTTAAGTCACAGTGTGGAGTAGCTAATCATTTTTTTAGCCACTAAATTTTTTCTTTTATTAGCAACGAAATACAAAAGAGAAATGGAGATGATCAACGCGCTGCTGGAAGGCTGTCTCTCCTCAATCCTCTGTTTTACTTCCCCACAAGACGCCTGTCGTTCGTCAAAGCCTCAAAGGTATCCGTCGAGTTTCAATCCGGCGCCGACTCCAACGCAGTCTGAGAGAACTTTATCCCATCCGATTCCGTTCCCGCCCCCCATTCTCCTCCAAGAAGGAGCTCTACCGCAAGCTCTACGACTCTGTTCTCGTCGAAGGCGGCCGTAAGATAGGTTTTCCTTTTGTAAATCAATTTTCTTTTTGCGGACTCGATTGAAGGAATTCATTAGATGGTGGTGGCGGCGACGAGTGGGAGGTCGACGGGGAAGCTGAGGTTTTTAACATTTTATATAGGAGATAGCAGATAGGGGTTGGGTCGGGTATATGGGGATTAGAAGAAAGGAAATTTTTTTTATTTTTCAATTAATATGGTAATTAGGTGGAAATTTTAAAATATATTTTTTTATTTTTTAATGGCCACGTCACATATTTAACGGTCAACTATAAAAGTTGACTGCCACATCAGACAAAGTTAACGGAGCTGGACGGAGAGTGACCGAACTTAAAATATTTTACTAATTTTAGCGACCACGAATGGAATTGAATATTTTTAGTGACTAAACATGAACGTTTTCAGTAATATTAGTGATCAACCTTGTAATTAATCCTATTTATATATTAACGAATATCAGTATATCAATTCTACATTTTGGCTTATCTATAACAAACCTTTTAGCTTTTCCTTAGCGAAATGATTGTACGTTCCTTAAAATAAAAGATGACTTTTTCACCAAAAAATAAAATTAAAAGATAGACTTGCCATTTGTTTACTAATACTACCTTTCATTTCCTTGCATTTTAATTAACAAATTAATTTTGTGTATGTAAAGATCACATTAAACACGTAGTTACCCTTTTTGTTTTTATAAATGTGCACAAATCTCTGCGCATAGCGCGGGAATAAAGTATTATGTCAGTTCCAAACTTCTAATCTTCTCAATTCCAGTCGATCACTCCTATGTTGTTGATTTCCCCGAATCCGTGCCCACGATTGCAGCGTATTGTTGTTGATCTTCCAATAGGCCCCCTAGATCGAGAATATACATCAATAAATCTCATCTTGCCAAATAATTCAAACATGTTGAGTTTGCTCAGTCCTTTTGGTGAAAATGTCTGCTACTTGATGAGAGGTACAAAGATGACAAACTCTGACCAACCTAGTATTAGTCCTTTCCCTAATCACATGCATATCAACATCGATATGTTTGATCATCTAATGAAAAATATGTTTCTCAGCTATATGAACAGCTGACATGTTATCGGTTATCACAATAAATTGTAATAGGGATTCATACTTTAGCTCTCAATTCTACTGATAGAAGTCCCTTCCTCCATTGAATTTCGTCCCCCCTTTTCTTCTTCCTCCAATCCTTCCTCCATTCTATCTTAGCAATCCATATCTCTCCCTAATCCCTAAATTTCGTTTCAATTATATATCATATCTTTGACGCTCTAGGTCCAAGTTCTATGAGGGACCAAAATCCTCACATAAATCTTTGGTTTTCCAAAATCTTTCTTCCTCAATTTTCAAATTCATTTATCATTTTTCAAATCCAACAAGCAAACGAACTCTTATATGAGATGCGACTGAGAAATAACTGTGAATCGATCAACGGGATTATTTGACATACTAGTCATAATAATCCATTTAGCTAGTGGCATGGATCTAAATTCATTATCACCATTTTTGGGTTGGATTGGATTTTGCAGATTAGATGTGTGCAGACTCTTTTACCGAGCCTTTACAATTACAAACTTTATAAGTGCATAAGGGGGCTTTCTTTTCATCACTAAGGCCCTCAACTCAAAATGTACCATTACAACCCAGGGTTTGAACAAACATACTATACTACTGTTGGTGGCTTTCTGCTGTTCACATAAACAAGAGCTGAGGAACTTCAATTCAGGGAAAGCAAACATTCTCCATTCTTGCTGAAATCAATCTCATCGTATCTAAGTAGCTGCACAAAAGTCATACATCATAAGCTTCTTAACAAGAAAGTGGATGCCTGATTGCAGTTCCAGCTCGCATTCTATACAACTGAGTACAAACTCCATCACTTTCATTACTCATATCAACCCACAACCTCAGCCCAACGAACATTTTTGGTTCCTTCTTAATAGAGTAGCGAAAATTGTACTCATGAGGTATGTTCGACATCTAAACACAGGGGGACTAGTCTGCTCAAAGGTAGGTTTCAGATCCACGCTTACTGACTATATATGGAAAGATGAAGATATCATTAAACCAGGTCAACAGTCGATACAAACGCTATCACTACTGGTCTCTAAAGCAATTGGCCAATGGTGAATTGCACTGCAACACGAAAACTCTGACTATAGGTGAAGTCATTAATATGGAAAGTACTTACATTTACACTACATTCACTAGATTGGGCACCGACAATCAGAAGGTTAACAAGTCATCCTTTCGCCATGCATCTCTCTTCAATGGCGATTAGCTAACAAGAGAAAAAAGGTCATGCTCTCTATTGGTAACACATCATACAATGCTAAGACTTCACATTTCCTATCCATCAAACTGCAAAATCATGTTTCAGCATCCCATAGAGACACTACTTGTGTTCCAAGCACGAAAAGACGATCAAAGAGCATAAGCGTTTTGTTACCCCGGAGCTTGAATTGAATATCACTAGATCACATCTCGCTAGGAAGTTTGCCGAACAAGGAATGGCGGCCCTCGGCGATCAACTCCCCAGTCTGCTTGTTCTTCACCAGCACAACCGTTCCAGCGTAGCCGCCTTTCTGCCCCAACACTCTGGAGGTAATATCTCCAACTCATCTGCAAAATTGACCATCCGCGAGGGAGTAAGAATCATCCTCAACTCAAATCAAAACCCTTGTTACATAACAACGAGAAACTATTATCCTTACAGATATGGAGCTTAGCTGAGGCGAGAAAGGAGATGGACATATCGACGAAGACATTCATGGGAAGGCCTTAGACCTGAACCACGGCGCCTCCCACCTCATCGACCAGGTTGGCAATCGCTCTGGTGGCTAGCTTCCCACTCCTGTCCTGCCACCATTCCCAATTCTCGAGTGAATCAATCACTCCTCAAACTCTTCCCGTTTTGGGGAAAAGAGAAGAATCAAAATTGATAGATGCGACAGTGGTAGCACACGCACGCCCTCGTTCGAAGCGCTATCGGTAATTGGAAGGAGCAATTAACTATGTAAAAGCAGCGGATGAAGAATCGGGGGCTTAGTCTTACAGTGAGGCCAGGAGGCACGGTGAAGGTACAAGAAACGAGGCCGGGGTCACCCGGTCGACTCGGATGCCTCGTAAAGCGAAGTCTTCGTAGAAGCTGCACTCGTGGCCGACTTGGTGAGGACTATTGGGCCAGACGACGAGTTCAGCAGCCCATGTCAATGTCGAGGCCCGGCTGCACACGCGGCCCATGCAGACGTGATGGAGTCGGAATTTCCTTCTCCTACACGTACTTGCAATCCCTGTTGACATTGGAGAATTAGGGTATCTATATTTATGTAAGGCCTCTAGCCACAATACGAAATAAAGAGATCGATTTCCACCGTGGATGTAAGACTCACCAACGTGAGGAAGAACCATGTTAAACAAAGTGTTCATTTATTTTCGCTAAATTTTACATGATATCAGAGCTCTAAGTTCCAGTTTCTTCTCTTCGTTTTGTCTGCCATGACTATCGGCGCCGACGATACTAAACAAAAGGGAGTTTCTTCCACTTCAGCCGACGATGTCCTTCCGTCGATTCTTTAGCTGCATAGCTCCGATAGCCCCGACAACATGCTGGTTGGGGAGATTCTTACGACATCAAATTACGGGGAATGGTCCCTAGATATGAAAGATGCTCTTATTGCCAAAGACAAATATGGTTTCGTCGATGGCACCGTTCTCAAACCGAAGGATCCTCGCGCGCTGGCTTTCTGGACGAGCTGTGACGCGATGGTAAAAGGTTGGTTGAAGACGTCTATGGACAAGGAGATTCGCAGTATTCGTTTTGCTGAGCATGCATCAGAAATTTGTGCGGATCTCCGTGCTCGTTTTGGTCAAGGCAGTGCTTCCCGTGCTTATGAGTTGCATCGGTTAATCAGCCTTCTTCAGCAAGAGAAACAAACAGTTTCGACCTTCTATACAAGTCTGCGGTCGTTTTGGGAGGAGGCGGCAGCCATAACACCTCCGCTGACTTGTACCTGCGACCTATGCACCTGTGACATCTCTCGCAGGGCTCGGCACATAAGAAAGCGTCCGGTTGTTCGATTTCCTTATGGGTCTTGATGATGCGTTTGGCGCGGTTCGGACTAAGATTTTGGCTATGAAGCCTACTCCAACTCTTGCTGAGGCATTCCATATGGTCTTCACCGAAGAGCAGCAAAAGACCATAACTCAAAATCGCAAGCTCCGGCCGAGGTAGCTGTCTTTGCGGCAGAAGGCGATGCTGATCGATCGTCTCGTAGCTTTGGTGATTTGCGTGGTACGGGGGAGCAGCGCGACAGGCCCAAGTGCACGCATTGTCATCGCCAGGGTCACACTCGCGAGACTTGTTATGAGTTAATTGGATATCCACCTGGGCATCGTACACGAGAGCGCCAAGGAGAACGAACCCAGCAACGTCGCAATCGCCCGGCTAGAGAACCCGCGCAGCGCGAACAAAAGGCTTCTCAGGTGGACGGGGAATCAAGTCATGTTCCCGGTTTCACCACGGCTCAGTTGAAAAAGTTGAAGCAATTTTTTTGGCTATCCGGGCAAGCCTTCTGATGACCCGACAGCTCACATGACAGGTATGGTTTCTTATGATTCTCAATGGTTATTGGATTCTGGCTGTAATGAACATATTACTATGGATGAGTCAATGTTGTCTAGAAAGGAATTACATACTAATGGGCAGCCAGTTCGTAGCATGCCGGTTAAGCATGTGGGTTCAGTAAAACTCCAGGAGGGTCTTACTCTTGGCAGGGTGCTTCATGTGCCTGAGTTTCGATGTAATCTCATCTCTGTGAGTCGGCTAACGAAGGATAACCGTGTGGCCTTGATTTTTCTTGAAAATTTCTGCATTATTCAGGACTTACATTCCAAGAAGTTGATTGGGAAGGGTGAGTTACGTGATGGAATGTACTACTTGTGTTTGTTTGGAGCTGGCCAGACGCAGGCATGTGCACAACAACGTCGACGTGCAGTTTTCGAGGCTACATTGCATGCTCGTCTGGGGCATCCTTCTTTTGAAAAGTTTTCGTTGAAAGAAAACATCGTCACATCCTAGATACAGCGAGGGCATTGCAGTTTCAAGCTAGTCTCCCTATCAAGTTCTGGGGAGAATGTGTTCTTACTGTAGTTTATCTCATTAATCGCCTTCCGACTAACGCCATAGGGAAAAGCCCTCACGAAATGCTTTTCGGCAAGGTTGATCCTTATCATCATCTTCGCGTATTTGGGTGTTTGGCTTACTACAAAGACACTCATGCGCACCTTGACAAGGTTACTGATTGGGGTCGAGCCGGAATTTTCTTGGGCTATGCAGCTACCCAAAAGGGTTATCGGATCTTTGATCTTCTCTCACGGCATCTCATTACTTCTCGGGATGTTATATTTCCCGATACTTCATTTTCCATGCAGGATGAAGCCAGACATGAGCTTCACTGGATCCCTCGGCCGGTTGTACCATCTCACGAAGACACTAACGATGCTTCTCCTCTACGTGCCACACCGGATTCTTCTCCAATAGGTGGCTCCCCATATCTTCGGGCCCTGGGTCCTCTCCAGAACCCACGTCGCCCACGTTCACTTCCCCGCTTGTAGCGGTTCTGGATCACCTTCCCCTCCCTCTGAAAATGGTGGTGACACTCCTGGATCATCTTTCAGCCCCCGTCGAGTGCCAGCCAGCAGCACTCGCCATCTCCTCAAGCGTTGCGCAGAGGTGATCGCGAGCGCTTTCGTCCTAAATACCTTGAGAGTTATGACACTCAGTTTGCAGGTTCCAGCGGTCAGGTAAGTTCCTAGTCTCTTGCTCATTATCCACTTGCATCTTATGTTGATTATTCTCGTTTAAAGGGTACTTATCGCTCCTTTCTTGCAGCTCAAACTCGCAATGACGAACCTCGTTACTTTTACGAGGCCGTCCTCAAAGCATGCTGGCGCAAAGCTATGTCACGCGAGATTGATGCGCTTGAAAAGAATGGCACCTGGAGTTTAGTTTTCCTTCCTCCAGGCAAGCGAGCTATTGCTTCCAAGTTGGTCTACAAGATCAAATATTTCCATGATGGAACCATCGAGCAGTACAAAGCTCGTCTTGTGGCGAAAGGATATACTCAGATTGAGGGTCTTGATTTTCATGATACTTTTGCCGCGGTAGCTAAACTGGTCACCGTACGTTGTCTCATTGTGGTTGTGATGACTCGATATTGCACATGTTTTCCCCTTTGTTTTTTGATTGTTTGAGCTTTAATTATCGCATCTTTGGCCTATTTTACGCAAGGTTGTGTTCCTTTGTCACATTTCAGGACCTAGACATAAAGTGAAGCATAGGCGCAAGTTTCAAGTCAATCAGAGATCAATTTGCGATTCGGGAGAAGAAACTCGGGCATGACCGGAATAAGAATGGATTTCTACCTCACTTTATGGACAAAGAATCATTCAATCTTGTCATGAAAAGTAAGAGGACTAGACTACGAGCGTTTGGGATCAAACGGCGACTGATTCGGAGTCCGGACGAGGGGGAAACGAAGCATTGAATATAGGGGAACAGGTTCGGCAGTAAAAACACAGGCAGACTACCCTAAAAATACGGCCGTGTTTTATCTGGCACCCGTTAGTGTTTTTACTGCCGAGGGCGTGTCGTGAGGGCTGCTGGGGGCAAAACATGGACTGGCCTAAAGAAAAACACGACCGTGTCCATATTTAGGCACGACCGTGTTTTGGCTGACGCGGGCGTGTTTTTAACACGTGGCAAGGGCACGGACGGGCAAAAGCAAAACACGGCCTTGCCCTCGACCGTGTTTTGCCCAGAATCGGGTTTTTGAGGCAGATTCGTGCCAAAGGAGAGGGAGTCGACTTTTTGGAGCAAAAAACAGAGTTTTAGAGAGAGAAAGTGCGAAGAACAAACCCTAGGAGCTATTTGGAGTGGATTTCTCACCATTGAAGCCCAGATCGCATCCCCAGGAGTGAAGATTGACATCCCAGAGCAGATTCTTCCCATTGTTATGAGTATGACTGCTTTGTATTCTGTTTCCCTCTCTCTCTCTCTCTATGGAGTAGAACTTTCTCTCACTTGGGTATGAAGAACCCTACTTCCGTGTGTTAGGAATCTTGATTGTAATTACGTTTGGATTGTGATATTGCTTGATTATAATCGATTGAAGTGTTTTGAATGAGTCAATTGAAGTCTGATCATCTTTTATTGATTTCTGCTGCAACATGAGATAGATAGAATCTGATTAGGTTGTTAGAGATTCTTCAATTGGTAGTAGTGAATCGATTATATGAGAGTTAGTCGATTCACTGCTTTGTACTGGAATCTAATTCCAGTAGTGGAGTTCTGTGTTCATTGCCTCACCATTCTATCCCGGTGAAGACTAGTCGTCTGCCGGGTGGGTTGACTGAGAGGGCTTGGTCAGCTTAAGAGATTCCAAGCTACTGTCGGATCTTCTGCAGTATAATCAGCAGTAAAGAAACCAAAAGTAATTACAACTGTGACCTAACTAAGGAGCTAGGGGGACTCATTCCCGAGTGACTCTTCCCTTGCTTTAGAAAACCGAACCATTTCCTGCTTTCTTACTGCTTTTACTTAAATCAACAATCACTCAACTTAGTTTGCTAGATAACAGATATACACGAAGTAGGCAGTAGATATAGACCCCGGGTTGAAAATTAGAGCTTGCCTGTTACTGCATTTCCGGACTGCGATTACACTTGGTCGCAGTTTGGTGTTGTGTTTTAGCGTGTCAAGTTTTTGGCGCCGTTGCCGGGGACCCTCTAGGTTATTGGGGAAACGTGAAAGTTTGTTACTCTAGCTTTTTCTTTATTGCATTTTCTCTCTTCCACTTGTGTGCCCTCACGGGTTGCTTTTGCTGATTGTGTGCAGGTAGTGCATGACCCGTAGCCAGTCGGGAGATTTACTACCATTAGACCAGGAGCTTGAACGGACCTGTAGGAACTTTAAGCGGGCTCTAAAGGCGCGACTGGCTGCGGAGGAGGCCTTAGCACAGCTGCAAATCACTAAGGAGGAAGAGATGGGTGACCCACAGAACCATGATGTGGTCTTTCCCGAGGAGCAAACCATGGGGTACTACTGGACCGCCAGAGCCGCGGACATGAGGTCACCAATTCAATACCCTCAAGTCCCAGCCAACAACTTTGAGGTGAGCACCTCGGTCATCACTAAGTTGCGCGGCTCGGTA